GGAGAGAGAAGAGGAAGAGGGGGGAAAAAGAGGAAAAGGAGGAAAAGAGGGAAGAAGGAAGAAGAAGAGGAAGAGAGGGAGGAAGAGAGAGAGGAAGAAGAGGAAGAGAGGGAGGAAGAGAGGGAGGAAGAAGAGGAAGAGAGGGAAGAAGAAGAGGAAGAGAGGGAGGAAGAGAGGAGGAAGAAGGGAGAGAGGGAGGAAGAGAGGGAGGAAGAAGAGGAAGAGAGGGAGGAAGAGAGAGAGGAGGAAGAAGAGGAAGAGAGGGAGGAAGAAGAGGAAGAGAAGGAAGAAGAAGAGGAAGAGAGGGAGGAAGAAGAGGAAGAGAGGAGGAAGAAGAGGAAGAGAGGGAGGAAGAAGAGGAAGAGAGGAGAAGAGAGAAGGAGAAGAGGAAGAAGAGGAAGAGAGGAGAAGAGAAGGGAGGAGGGAGGAAAGGAGAGAAGAAGAAGAAGAGGGGAAGAGAGGGAGGAAGAAGAGGAAGAGACGAAGAGAGAGAGAAGAGACGGAGGAGGACGAGAAGCGAGAGAGGAAGAAGAGGGGAGAGAGAGGGACAGAGAGGAAGAGGAGAGAGGGAGGAAGAAGAGGAGAGAGGGAAGAAGAGAGGGAAGAAGGGAGGAAGAGAAGAGAGGGAAGAGAAGAAGGAAGAGGAGGGGAGAGAGGGAGGCAAGGAAGAGGAGGAAAGAGGAAGGGGAAGAAGAGGAAAGAGAGGAGGAGAAGGAAGAAGAGGAAGAGAGGGAGGAAGAGAGGGAGAAGAAGAGGAAGAGAGGGAGGAAGAAGAGGAAGAGAGGGAGGAGAAGAAGAAGAGAGGAGGAGAGGGAGAAGAAGAGAAGAGAGGGAGGAAGAAGAGGAAGAGAGGGAGGAAGAAGAGGAAGAGAGGGAAGAAGAAGAGGAAGAGAGGGAGGAAGAGAGAGAGGAAGAGAGAGAGAGGGCAGGAAGAAGGAGGAAGAGAGGAAGAGGCGGGGGAAGAAGAAGAGGAAGAGAGGGAGGAAGAGAGAGAGGAAGAAGAGGAAGAGAGGGAGGAAGAGAGGGAATAAGAAGAGGAAGAGAGGGAGGAAGAAGAGGAAGAGAGGGAGGAAGAGAGAGAGGAAGAAGAGGAAGTGTCATCCAGCCCTGTAGTCTACTGTAGACTGTAGTGTCATCCAGCCCTGTAGAGTCTACTGTAGACTGTAGTGTCATCCAGCCCTGTAGTCTACTGTAGACTGTAGTGTCATCCAGCCCTGTAGTCTACTGTAGACTGTAGTGTCATCCAGACCTGTAGTCTACTGTAGACTGTAGTGTCATCCAATCCTGTAGTCTACTGTAGACTGTAGTGTCATCCAGCCCTGTAGTCTACTGTAGACTGTAGTGTCATCCAGCCCTGTAGTCTACTGTAGACTGTAGTGTCATCCAGCCCTGTAGTCTACTGTAGACTGTAGTGTCATCCAGCCCTGTAGTCTACTGTAGACTGTAGTGTCATCCAGCCCTGTAGTCTACTGTAGACTGTAGTGTCACCCAACCCTGTAGTCTACTGTAGACTGTAGTGTCATCCAGCCCTGTAGAGTCTACTGTAGGGTCATCCAGCCCTTTAGAGTCTACTGTAGACTGTAGTGTCATCCAGCCCTGTAGAGTCTACTGTAGACTGTAGTGTCATCCAGCCCTGTAGTCTACTGTAGACTGTAGTGTCATCCAGCCCTGTAGTCTACTGTAGACTGTAGTGTCATCCAGCCCTGTCGTCTGTAGACTGTAGTGTCATCCAGCCCTGTAGTCTACTGTAGACTGTAATGTCATCCAGCCCTGTAGTCTACTGTAGACTGTAGTGTCACCCAGCCCTGTAGTCTACTGTAGACTGTAGTGTCATACAGCCCTGTAGTCTACTGTAGACTGTAGTGTCACCCAGCCCTGTAGTCTACTGTAGACTGTAGTGTCATCCAGCCCTGTAGTCTACTGTAGACTGTAGTGTCATCCAGCCCTGTAGTCTACTGTAGACTGTAGTGTCACCCAGCCCTGTAGAGTCTACTGTAGACTGTAATGTCATCCAGCCCTGTAGTCTACTGTAGACTGTAGTGTCACCCAGCCCTGTAGTCTACTGTAGACTGTAGTGTCATACAGCCCTGTAGTCTACTGTAGACTGTAGTGTCACCCAGCCCTGTAGTCTACTGTAGACTGTAGTGTCATCCAGCCCTGTAGTCTACTGTAGACTGTAGTGTCATCCAGCCCTGTAGTCTACTGTAGACTGTAGTGTCACCCAGCCCTGTAGAGTCTACTGTAGACTGTAGTGTCATCCAGCCCTGTAGTCTACTGTAGACTGTAGTGTCACCCAGCCCTTTAGAGTCTACTGTAGGGTCATCCAGCCCTTTAGAGTCTACTGTAGACTGTAGTGTCATCCAGCCCTGTAGTCTACTGTAGACTGTAGTGTCATACAGCTCCCACTACCAAGGAGTAAAATAACAGACAGAGGAGAATGGTAATAGAAGCCATCCCTCCCAGCCGCCTTACGGTAGCCCAGACACAAAGACAGACAGAGACAGACAGCTCAGTCTGGACAAGGGCAGAGGATATAGTGGTGGTGGTAGTGGTGAAGGATCATATTAATGTTATTACCTTCTCATCCTCAGCAGTCACAGATGAACAGACAGACAGACAGACAGCAGCAGCCATGAGCAGTATATCATGGCCAGAGCTAGCCACAGCACAGCAAGGCCAGGGAATGTTAAGTATTCTGCTGGTGTTGCTGGACTGGAGAGTGACATTGTGTTGTCCTCTGTACTCTCTCCAACCACCACTATAGGAAGTCTGTATGTTAAAGCTAAGCTGCTTTTTATTTTCAGCAGAGAAACCTATCAAGCTAATAGCTAGCTCCTTATTTTGAATTTCTTGACTGTTTCATGTCTATTTTATTCTGCACAATATTGAGAGCTTTTTAGAAATTGTTTCTAGCCAAGAGCCATTATTGATATCAGCCACGCACAAGCCAAAAAGGAATGGGTCGCAAACCACCATTGGCATGGCTACAGTAGGTAGTCTGAGGGAAGCATGGTGCCTCGCCCCTGTTTAACATTAGCAGCGGCAGCTCAGGCGCGGGCCAGGCCGACCAGGCTCATAGAGGAACATTAACTCTCCTTCCTGTTCCATATGAGAAGTTAAGCATGAACCCAGAAGAGCAGTAAAAGGCGGCCTGCCGGCCAAACTCAGCTCCTGGTCACACATGGTAGAGAGCTACATCATTTACTCTAACCACTACTACAGGAAGGCAGAGAGGCCAGGCTAGTCTCAAATGGCACCCTATTCTCCGTGTAGTGCACTACTTATGACCAGTACCACCCTATTCTAATCCCCATATTGTACACTATGACTGGAACCATCCTATTCCCTATAATATTAGTGCACAACTTTCGACCGAAGCCTATGGCTCTCTGTTGATGGAGAATGAAAGGAACGCTACATAAAAAGGGAAGCAAGGAGGTTTGATTGTCACTCGTTTCACCACAGCTAAATGATATGTTACTAGCGTCAATATAATGAAATGACTGTGAAATGACTGGGTGAAGGCAGATCATATCTGCTTGACTGTTTTAGCTGACAGGGTTGGAACAGAGAGTAGAAGCTGCCCTACAGACTGACTCATTGTGCATCCCAAGTTTCACCCTATATAGGTCATTCCACGAAATGGGTGCTATTTTAAGTAAGATTGTGCACCAATATTGAATTTTAAAATCCGGTTATAGTAACTGAAGTACACTTTAATATAGGCCACATGGATAAATAACTAAATCCGATTTTTTATATGAATAAAGGCTTGCTAAAGTGCCACAATTCTGCATTTTGACATGTCCCTCAGTCAACCCTGTGTCATTTCTAGGAAGATTTCAACCCACTTAATCCCATAATTTCTCCAAGTTTCACCATCATTGTAAAGGTGAAGTGCTGCTTTGATAGTCATTTCTGAAGATGATTATTTATACTCATGTGATTAGTGATGCATTTACATCTGTCCCTCATTTTAAGGTAAACCCTGTTATGCAAACAATTTGACCTGAAGATATCTGTGCAGCGACGCTCCCCATCCAACCTGACAGAGCTTGAGAGGATCTGGAGAGAAGAATGGGAGAAACTCCCCAAATACAGGTGTGCCAAGCTTGTAGCGTCATACCCAAGAAGACTCAAGGCTGTAATCGCTGCCAAAGGTGCTTCAACAAAGTACTGAGTAAAGGGTCTGAATATTTATGTAAATGTGATATTTCAGTTGTAAAAAATATATACATTTGTAAAAATGTCTAAACCTGTTTTCGCTTTGTTATTAGGGGGTATTGTGTGTAGATTGATAACTATTTTTATTTATTTAATTCATTTTAGAATAAGGATGTAACGTAACAACATTTTGAAAAAGTCAAGGGGTCTGAATATTTTCAGAATGCACTGTATCCTCCATGCAATTGAGTATTGAAAGAAGATATATTTTAAAGTTAATTTCTTAAAAGTTTGCAGGTCCAAAAGGCACCCCATTTCGTGGAACAACCCATGTAATGCACTATAGTCCCTGGTCACAAGTAGAGCACTATACAGGGAATAGGGTGCCATTTGGGATGCAGATATGGGGTTTAAATAAAGACGGAGTCAGGAACTTAATAGAGCTTTAATACCACTTTTGACAACTTGTGCTGGAGAGCTGTTTTTATGATTCCAGTCATGTGTAGTAACACTGACTGTCTCTGTCTACTCAGCAATTGTTTTATCAGATCTGAGGAAGAGTTGGCCTTGGGTACAGATCCAGGATCAGCTTACCTCTCCAATTACTGATCTTAACTATTAGGGGGAACAACGCTAAACTGACCTTAGGTCATTGTCTTGGGGAAACTACTGCAGCAGCTTCTGCCTCTCCTCCCTTTCCCCTCATTGCTCACCGTAGTTAGGGCTGCAAAGTCTTGTAACTTTCCTAAAATTACCAGAAATCCCTGTTGGAGGATTCCTAGAATCAAACACAGAGAGGAATAGAAATGCAGCTGCAAATATCAAAGGCATCTACGTCTTATGAGAAAGGTCATTTATTATCAGTACATGTTCAATACATTGCTCATCAGACATGTTGACATCAATGACTTGTAACATCATCCATCAACCTTACTACTTTACCTGGGTACCTGGTCATTTCTCAACATTTCACAACCTTTCCTTTCCAATACTCACTCAATCACAACATAAACATACATTACTGTAGAACGATAAAAATTCATTATTGGAAATGTGGGTTCAGATTCCAGTTCAAAATGATAGTATCCTTCTATGTCTTGATGACAGAGAGCTTTACATTAGCTATAGCTGTCAGGTCACGTGATTTTCCCTTTTATCAGGGATTATCGTGATGGGCTGGAGTCACGTTAGCCCTGTGTTAGCTACATCAGTCCAGATGTGAATGGAGGCCAACAGCTTCTCAATAACAGCTGTTTTGGTCCTTCATGGCATTCCAGGGTTCAAAGTTCACTCAGTTCAACAGGAAGGAGAGACAGTTGTTTTGAAGTGGTGGGTTAGAGTGGAAGAGAGGAGTGAGGCCTGGTCTGTCACTTGGCCGGGGTTAACCTCCAGGCCTGACCCCTGACCCCTTACTTCTTGGCTTTCTTCTCCATCATGATCTTCTTGCTCTCCTCTCTCCGCCGTTTGTTGACAGGGTTGCGTGGATCATAGATCTCAAACGTGTCTTCATCCTGCATGTTGGCATCCTTGACTTTTCTGGTTTGCTCATCAAACTGGAGAACATGGGCCATCCTAAATCAGAGAGAGAGGAGGTTGAAAGAACAGCTCAGCAAATCACATACCAGTAGGTTAACGACTTACTACCAACAGACTACACCCTGTTTTACTGAGACCTTTACACACAGATCCAACATGGTGAAAGTTGCAAAAACATGGCCAGGTTTCTACTGACTCATACCATTCTAACTTTCCCTACATACATTAGAAAAAGGCAGATTCAATCAAACCAAGCACCAATGTCCACAATAAACATCAATAATCACAACAAAAAGGGATGCGTCTTTGATTTCCCTAGTGATATGGAACTTTCCCGCTCTCCATCGGTCCCTTCATCATCAATTAAGAAACAATGGCATTCCTCTGAAGCAGGTGTTATGTCATCAAGGAGCCATGGTGGTTAGAGAAGGCACTGTATTGCTGTAAAGGAATAGACTACACCTTTTACACAGCGCAACACAGTAACCAGTGTGCTTATCACACAAGTGTGCTTAACAAGAATAACGCGTACAAAATATGGGGTCGAAATGTTCTGTTCTCTTAGGGAGGAAGAGGAGCAGGAGGAGGATGAAGAGGAAGGTGAGGGGGTAGATGATGAAGAGGAATAGGAAAAAGAGAAGGAAGTTGACTGATATGCATTTGGAAGCATGATTGGCTTTCCTGTTGTCCTTTGGGGACTGGCTGCAAGCAGCACCTTCACAGCAGAGAAAGAGAGGGAGAATGGCCGAATCTGAGGAAGCCAGCTTTACAGCCAGCTTTACAGCAGACAGCCGTGATGGAACTGAACTGCCATCCTTTAGGATCAGAGGTTAGTAAATAAAGGAAAAGAGATTAGAATACAGGAGGAAAGGGTTAGAGAGGAGCAGAGAAGAGAGAAGGTAATGGAAGAGGAGATTTTGATGTAATTTATTAAGATGCCATTAGCCGACACGAATGGTGACAGCTAGTCTTCCTGGGGTCCAACACATAACGAAAAATACATTACAGACAAAATACTTTACCATTTACATACATTTAAAAACATTAACATGTAGTTTGTGTGTGCATCTATCAGTTACACATACTGTACATACACAGAAAAAGTAGGTCACATGGGGGAGAGGCGTTGTGCCGTTGTCTTATTTGTTTTTTGAAACCAGGTTTGCGGTTCACTTGCCCTATATGAGATGGAAGGGAGTTCCATGCACTCATGGCTCTGTATAATACTGTACATTTCCTTGAATTTGTTCTGGACCTGGGGACTGTGAAAAGACCCCTGGTGGTGTAAGTGTGTGTGTCAGTGCTGTGTGTAAATTGACTAGGCAAACAATTAGGAATTTCCAACATATTGATGTTTCTTATAAAAACAAGAAGTGACGCAGTCAGTCTTTCCTCAACTCTTAGCCAAGAGAGACTGGCATACATAGTATTAATATTATCCTTCTGATTACAATGAAGAGCAATACGTGCAGCTCTGTTCTGGGCCAGCTGCAGCATAACTAGGTACACTACCGTTCAAAAGTTTGGGGTCACTTAGAAATTTCCTCGTTTTCCATGAAAACATACATGAAATTAGTTTGAATAGGAAATATAGCAAAATGCATAGGAAATGTAGTCATTGACAAGGTTAGAAATAATGATTTCTAATATAAATAATAATTGTGTCCTTCAAACTTTGCTTTTGTCAAATAATCCTCAATTTGCAGCAATTACAGCCTTGCAGACCTTTGGCATTCTAGTTGTCAATTTGTTGAGGTAATCTGAAGAGATTTCACCCCATGCTTCCTCAAGCACCTGCCACAAGTTGGATTGGCTTGATGGGCACTTCTTACGTACCATACGGTCAAGCTGCTCCCACAACAGCTCAATAGGGTTGAGATCCGGTGACTGTGCTGGCCACTCCATTAGAGACAGAATACCAGCTGACTGCTTCTTCCCTAAATAGTTCTTGCATAGTTTGGAGCTGTGCTTTGGGTCATTGTCCTGTTGTAGGAGGAAATTGGCTCCAATCAAGCGCCGTCCACAGGGTATGGCATGGCGTTGCAAAATGGAATGATAGCCTTCCTTCGTCAAGATCCATTTTACCCTGTACAAATCTCCCACCACCAAAGCACCCCCAGACCATCACATTGCCTCCACCATGCTTGACAGATGGCATCAAGCACTACTCCAGCATCTTTTCATTTGGTCTGCGTCTCACAAATGTTCGTCTTTGTGATCCGAACACCTCAAGCTTCGATTTGTCTGTCCATAACACTTTCTTCCAATCTTCCTCTGTCCAGTGTCTGTGTTCTTTTGCCCATCTTAATCTTTTCTTTTTATTGGCCAGTCTGAGATATGGCTTTTTCTTTGCAACTCTGCCTAGAAGTTCAGCATCCCGGAGTCGCCTCTTCACTGTTGACGTTGAGATTGGTGTTGTGGGTACTATTTGATGAAGCTGCCAGTTGAGGACCTGTGAGGCGTCTTTTTCTCAAACTAGACACTCTAATGTATTTGTCCTCTTGCTCAGTTGTGCACCAGGGCCTCCCACTCCTCTTTCTATTCTGGTTAGAGCCAGTTTGCGCTGTCCTGTGAAGGGAGTAGTACACAGCGTTGTACGAGATCTTCCGTTTCTTGGCAATTTTTCGAATGGAATAGCCTTCATTTCTCAGAACAAGAATAGACTGACGAGTTTCAGAAGAAAGTTCTTTGTTTCTGGCCATTTTGAGCCTGTAATCGAACCCACAATTGCTGACGCTCAGATACTCAACTAGTCTCAAGAAGGCATTTTTATTGCTTCTTTAATCAGCACAACAGTTTTCAGCAGGACTAACATAATTGCAAAAGGGTTTTCTAATGAACAACGTGCCATTGGAACACAGGACTGATGGTTGCTGATAATGGGCCTCTGTACGCCTATGTAGATATTCCATAAAAAATCTGCAGTTTCCAGCTACAATAGCCATTTACAACATTAACAATGTCTACACTGTATTTCTGATCAATTGGATGTTATTTTAATGTACAAAATAAAAAAAAATATTTCGAAAACAAGGACATTTCTAAGTGACCCCAAACTTTTGAACGGTAGTGTATATCTTTGCAGCACTTGACCATATGATTGGACAATAATCAAGATAAGATCAAATTAGAGCCTGCAGATCTTACTTTGTGGAGTGTGGCGTCAAAAAAGCAGATCATCCCTTTATTACGGACAGACCTCTCCCCAAGTAATTTAGTCTCCTCAACTTATTCAACAGCCACACCATTCATTACCAGATTCAGCTGAGGTTTAGAACTTACGGTATGATTTGTACCAAAATATAATGCTTAGTTTTAGAGATGTTCAGGACCAGTTTATTACTGGCCACCCATTCCAAAACAGACTGCAACTCTTTGTTAAGGGTTTCATTAGCTGTGGTTGCTGATGCTTATATGGTTGAATCATCTGCATACATGGACACACATTAAATTTTTTCCATCATTCTTTATATCATTGATCTTGGCTTCATAATACAGTTTCTTCTTCGTTTTGTCACAATTTCTCAATTTGCAATAAGTCAGCCAGTCAGATGTGCAGCCAGACTTACTAGCCACTCCTTTTGCCCCATCTCTTTCAACCATACTGTTGTTCAATTCTTTATCAATCCATGGAGCCTTAACAGTTCTAACAGTCAGTTTCTTAACAGGTGGCATTTTATCAACAATTTCATAAATTCATCAAGTGCAGCGTCTGACCAACAAATATTGTATGTTGTTGTGCATGATGTTTCTTTCAATTGACACCGCTTACAGAAATACTTCTATAGACTTTTTATACACAGATTTTAGAGAGAAGATCACAGGGTTAGAGAGGAAAGGGAATGTCTATGTCTATAGGCAGCTGCCTCTAATGTGCTAGTGATGGCTGTTTAACAGTCTGATGGCCTTGAGATAGAGAAGATCACAGGGTTAGAGAGGAAAGGAAATGGAAGAGAAGCAAAGGGACTGAAATGTCTTCTTTTTTTCTTTTTTTTAAAGAGGTCTTGACCAAAGCAGGGACTGATTGGTTAACAGCCAGCCACCTTTCAGGAAGATGAATGAAACCACAGCAATAACACAGACATAGATTTAGCTGTCGCGTTCATCAAGCTTTGTTTTCCTCTGCTTAGTCAGTCCGTCTAATCACTCACAGTGGCCTAGTTTCCCCTAGCCTCACACATCATCCACCCAACATCACTTTCTTCTTCTGGAGAACACGTATCTTATAACATCTGTCAGTCAAACCGTCGGTTTGGTTTAAAAAAGCAACTTTCTTAATGATTTCACCTCTATCAACCTGACTCTCTTAGAACACACTGACCGAAAAACTCCAACGCGTTACCTAATAGGCCAAGCCTGTCAGTCAAAACAGTTAACATCAATCTAATAGCGTATAGCTACAGAAGGGAGCAAGAGCAGGAACTCCACAGGGAGACACTTATCTCCCTCACTAACTTTAAGCATCAGTTGTCAGAGCACCTTACCGATCACTGCACCTGTACACAGCCCATCTGAAATTAGCCCGCCCAACTACCTCATCCCTATATTGTTATTTATTTTGCTCATTTGTACCCCAGTATCTCTATTTGCACATCATCTCTTGCACATCTATCATTCCAGTGTTAATACTAATTGTAATTATTTTGCACTATAGCCTATTTATTGCCTTACCTCCATAACTTGCTACATTTGCACACACTGTATATATATGTATTTCTGTTGTATTTTTGACTTTGTTTTGTTTTACCCCATATGTAACTCTGTGTTGTTGTTTTTATCGCACTGCTTTGCTTTATCTTGGCCAGGTCGCAGTTGTAAATGAGAACTTGTTCTCAACTGGTTTACCTGGTTAAATAAAGGTGAAATAAAAAATAAAATAAAAGACAGGTAAAGACAGCGGAGAGGGGCAGGTCACCGGTGTCCATCAGGCGGACACATCTACCCAGCGCAGAGGGATTTGCACCACATGCATAATGCTCCGACAGTGACACGACACACCTGTTTGGAGGGTTCTGATGAAGGCCTTGCGTTACCCAGGGGTCACCGAGCTGCAACCCCGGGTTAATTAAAAACAAGATAAAAAGGGAAGATGCTCTCACCAATTCACAGAAGACGAGAGATGGAAACCAAATCAAACCAGACGAAGAGCTTCAGGCCCCAATCTCTGACGGTTTGCATTAATACAGTGATGTACTACTATTACAGATAGTTATTTTATTTGGGAGGGTGGGTGGGGGGTATTACAGGTAGTTATTTCATTTGGGGAGGGTGGGGGGTATAACAGGTAGTTATTTTATTTGGGAGGGTGGGTGGGGGGTATTACAGGTAGTTATTTAATTTGGGGGGTGGGGGGGTATTACAGGTAGTTATTTAATTTGGGGGGTAGGGGGGTATTACAGGTAGTTATTTAATTTGGGGAGGGTGGGGGGTATTACAGGTAGTTATTTAATTTGGGGGGGGGTGGGGGGTATTACAGGTAGTTATTTAATTTGGGGAGGGGGTAGGGGGTATTACAGGTAGTTATTTAATTTGGTGGGGTAGGGGGGTATTACAGGTAGTTATTTAATTTGGGGGGTAGGGGGGTATTACAGGTAGTTATTTAATTTGGGGGGTAGGGGGGGGTATTACAGGTAGTTATTTAATTTGGGTAGGGGTGGGGGGGTTATTACAGGTAGTTATTTAATTGGGGGGGGGGTGGGGGGGGGTATTACAGGTAGTTATTTAATTTGGGGGGGTGGGGGGTATTACAGGTAGTTATTTCATTTTGGGGAGTAGGGGGGTATTACAGGTAGTTATTTAATTTGGGGAGTAGGGGGGTATTACAGGTAGTTATTTAATTTGGGGGGGTATTGCCATATGAGTTGTGCTGTATGCTGTCAGAACCCCTTTAATCAGCCACTAAGATCATATTCAAATGTTTGTCCTCCTTGTATGTGTGTTGGATGGAGTGTGTCTGAGTGTGCGTCTTGAGTTTGTGTGCGAAGCTAAGTACGAGTGTATTTCTGTCAGCTGGCTTTTCTCTGTGTGTGTGTGTGTGTCTGCCTTTTAGTCTGCTTCGTTGAAGCGTTATGCGTGTGCGTGTGCGTGTGCTCTGCAGTCCCCCTCCTGTGTTCATCTGAACTGGGCAGTAGTAGTAGTAACAGCTCATCTAGGATGTCATGGCTCTACTCTGGCAGACAGGACTCCTGCTGTGCCAGGGTTAGGGTTAGGCTAACCACTACCATCATTTATCTAGCAGCCTCAGTGATGACAGGCACACAGCCTCATCGCCCAGACTTACTCAAAAACAGTGTATGTATGTATGTATGTATGTATGTATGTATGTATGTATGTATGTATGTATGTATGTATGTATGTATGTATGTATGTATGTATGTATGTATGTATGTATGTATGTATGTGTGTGTGTGTGTCAGGCTCTGGCCTCCCACCGTTCAGAGCTCCACAGTCTGCTTATCAAACCCACTCTCTACCCAGAAGCCCCACAAGACTTTCCACTATTTGTTTTTCTTTCACTTTTTGAAAAGAGGGAGGAAAGAGGGAGAGGTGGGGCGAGAGGGGCTCTCTGGCTGGCTTCTGAGAGAGGGAGAGACTGACATCTATGTCTGCGAGCCTGTGTATGTGTCTGTGTGTGTGTTATAAGAATGGTGTGTGTGTTAGCAGAGCGATCTATAAAGTAGAGTTTGTAGACCCAGACACAGATGGAATAGTTTATAGTCCCCTGACTTGACTTGGTTAGTCTGACCTGTAATAACGCTGTAGTTCCTGTACCAGCGCTCTCAGAGTGGCACAGACATCTACTCTACTGGCTGGCGGGGTGTTGTTCTAGACTAGGACTACGGTCCAAATTACACCCTATTCCCTAGATAGTGCACTACCTTTGACCAGAGCCCTGCTAACTGATGTGGCTCATGCAATGGAAAGTATTTTTTGTAATGTCAGTTGAATTGATTCAACAAATCACAGCACAGATTGATGGGTACACTTCCTGCTTTGCTCCTATGGGTAGACTTGCAATGGCCGCCAATCCACCCATTATTGACTTGAATGGGGACGCCCGTTCTATTCATTCTATTTCTATGGTCACAGCTGATTTTCTGATGGTTCCTCTGTCTGGGCAGAGACACCAGGCTATGCAAACACACTGCTGTCGTCATGGTCTTCAATACATTGTTATATCTGAAGTATTGGTGTTTTAACTTTCAGCAACACCAGCTCCACAAGGCCCCTCTCGCTCTCTCTCACACACACCAGCAGAGAGGAGAAACATCAAATTGAAAAACCTAACAGAAATAGGCCATAAATGTGACTGGCTGGGGGAGAATTCCATATGAATCGGATTTGTCTGACAGAAGGAGTGGTGTGAGCCAACAGACTACAGTCCTGAACAGCATGTGTCCTCCTCACTGTAGTGTACATCACATTCTATATCCTCATCCTGTACAGAAACGTCCCTATACATCCTATACTTATAATATAATAATATAATATGCCATTTAGCAGACGCTTTTATCCAAAGCGACTTACAGTCATGCGTGCATACATTTTTTTTTTGTGTATGAGTGGTCCCGGGGATCGAACCCACTACCTTGGCGTTACAAGCGCCGTGCTCTACCAGCTGAGCTACAGAGGACCACATACTTACAATCCAAGTGTGTTTTCTATGTATATGCAAGTTTCTTACACAGTGGCAACCCAAGGTTGTGTTGTGTGAAAACACACATTAGGAATGACAAACCCTTCAGTCCTGCTATAGGCCTAGGTAGAGACACAACACTGATAACTTCCCAGTCCTGTTTTTAGTTTTAGGTAGTAGCAGTATTAAGTGGTGCGTAATGAGAGCCACTAGACCTAATATTTGCCTGTTGTACTGAGCGGTGACGGTGATGCAGAGCTCAGCCCCGCAGCTGACAGGGCATTATTCACCCCGCTCCTTTGTTATCCACTGTTAGTGTAGCGCTGTGCTCAGGAATGGGAATGGCCTTTACAACACAGCTTAACACACACACACACACACACACACACCCCCCTACTATGACGAGGAAACAAAATACATCTAAATAAGAGAGAGAAACAACATGCCCCTGTTTAATTGTCTGGCAGTCTGTGTTTCTCTGAGAGTAATGAAACTCAAAGCGAAGGCTGGCACCCAGACCATCGCTACATCTATCTAATCTAGAGCAGTTAGTCAGTCAGAGTGTGTTGACTCACTGTAGAAAGTTCAGCAGTGTGTCAAGTCATTAAGGAGCAGTTCCTATGTTGTGATGACTGGCCATTAACACAGACATAACAGATGTGTTACAGGACAGGGGGCGGATGGATGGTGGATGGGCTGCTCTGGCTGGCCCACTAGAACTGGTAGTAGGTTACATCCCAATGGCACCCTACTCCCTATTCAGTGCACTATATAGGGAATAGGATGCATGGGCCCTCGTCAAAAGTAGTGCACTAAAATCGGGATAAACAAAAGTTCAATAAAAAAATGTAACCACAACGTACCATCCTTTGTCGTCGTCCTCTGCCAGCTCCTCAGGGTCCTCCTCAGGGTCCTGGGAAGTCTCAGTGATGGCCGAAGACAGCTTGGACTTGAAACGGTCCAGCAGCGCCATCGTCTACGGGACAATCAGGTTAAAAATCATTGGGTCACTAACACAAATCTTTCACCTCAACCCCCGGTCGTATCAAGAAAATAGACAGTGCAAGGTCATCTATATGTATTTGACTGAAAGACATCATCATTAACGTAATCAACACCCTGATATACAGTAAGCTCCTACTAACCTCATTGAATGATTGAGTGTAGAGAGTTAATGACACCGGATATGAATGGCTCAGTTTTGAGTAATGACACCTGTCTGTTACCTGTGCCTCTCTGCTGGATCCCTTCTTCAGTTTCTGTTTCTTCAGGTCTTCATATTTCTTCTTGCCCTCCAGATATTCCGCCACCGCCTCGCTACCCGGCTTCTTTTCCTCTATAGGGACACAGTAGTTAGCAGTCACTGGCTTATTTTCCTCTACAGGAAGTTAAAAACATAGTAATTAATAGTCAGTTAGTTAACTTGGATATACTCTGGCATAGCCCCGCTGTCTGTCTGGCTTCTTGTCTTCTACAGAAACTTACTACATTTAGTTATTAAACAGTTAATTCATGCGTATCCTGGTTAATTGGGAGAATAGTTAAATCGGGACAGAATGCAGAGGAAATAACAACCAACATGTAAAAATCATCTGAAGCTCTGCCTCATCATTAGTAAGACAGAAGGTATGTCTGAAATGGCACCCTATTTATTCCCTATATAGTGCACTACTTTTGACCAAAGCCCTATGGGCCCTGATCAAAAGTAGTGCACTACATAGGGAAGAGGGTGCGATTTCAGACGCAGCCAGAAACCCGTCTGGTCACAGTGACAAACACAAAGTGAATGGATGTGATCTGAGGGAATTATCCACTACAGCGCCTGCTGCATGGCCAACAGATCCAGCAGGATGAATGATGGGCTCCCAGTTTAACAAGGAAACCCCTCTCTTTCTGCTCTGCGCCGCGCCAGAGCCAGAGCCAGCCACATCCAACATATTGTAAATGTTCCCAATGAAAAAGAAAGGAGGAAAAACTAGGCTGAATTCTTCAACTTCAGCCTTGAGACTGGATGGAGACTGCGAAGGGAAAGTATACCTCTGGGCAAGGAGGGTTTCAATGAGAAAAACAAGTGGCTCAAATAAGTGGATATAACCTTGTATTATTCAAGCACAACGATGCTTGCAAAGCACAGTAGCAGGTCTACTTACTACTTCAATTCAGTATCTGTCTGCACACTGAAATGAACCTTGGTACTTTGCCAAGAGAGGATACAGAATACAACACATCAAAACTCTGTTGAATGTAGTGCCCTTAAAGAGATAAACATCAACACTCTGTAGAATGTAGTGCCCTTAAAGACATAAACATCAAAACTCTGTAGAATGTAGTGCCCTTAAAGAGATAAACATCAAAACTCTGTTGAATGTAGTGCCCTTAAAAGAGATAAACATCGAAGCATCCATAAACAGTGTCAGTTGAGATTTGGATGAAGTCTAAATGAACTTAAGGACAGAGCGTACTGTCTCTAGTGAAGCAGGTTCTGGCCCTGCTCTTTCAAGGTATCAGCTGATGACAGGTAAGGGATAAAGCCTGTTGGCTGGCCAAGTGGCCATGGGAAGACAGGAGAGAGTACTCACACAGAATATATGAGAGAGGAGAGAGAGAGAAACATTGAGTGCAATGTTTACTGTTCCTTTCTAATAGTTTTTTGTTGTTGTTAAATTACTTTCTTCTGAGTTTTGTTTATTTCACTTGCTTTGCCAATGTAAACAAATGTTTCCCATACCAGTAAAGCACATTTGATTTGATTTGAGAAAGAGCGAGCGAGCGAGTCAAAGGGAGAGAGATACGTTTCCCATGCCAATAAAGTTCTTAAATTGAATTGAATTAAAAGAGAAAGACATTATGGAGATGGATAGGAAACCCTGAGGAACATTTCCCACACCCAAGACATGACTAACAAATCACACAGAACATGTTAATGACTAACAGTAAAAATCACAACATGAAAGGGAAAAGAGCAGATCAAGTTGTGAGACCGGTTCATATGCGACGAGAGCAAGTCAATCTGTGTCAGGACAACCATCATCCCCAGTCCTCTCTCATCTCTGACTGACTGACAGGGCCAAGGCTACATGGTGCTATAAGGCATGAAACCCTTGTGTAGGTGGAGCAGAGAGGTCGCGATACACTAACCCTCCACTATATCTTGTCCATAACTGACCTATTCAGCTTCTTATCTTAATGCTAATCCTTATCGTAATTGATCACTTAGCTTAAAGGCACGGTAAGAGAGACAGTGCTGAGAGCTAAGCAGAAACAGAGGGAGGGGGACCATATGTGAGATAATTGGTGAAACCTAACATAAATTGACTGGAACCAGGTAAGACCTGAGAAGAAATTGTCATCTTTGTGGGGTGAATGAAGTGGGGGGTATAGATCACGAATCAAAGTGTTCCAACACTGTTCCCATACTAAGTCAAATTCCACATGCAGGCCTTGGGTGTGAAGGAGAATCTTCCAACGCATTCTATAAGCTACAGTGGGCCATCTGCAGTTGAAACAATGACAAAGCATTCTCCCTGCCCGTTTCGGTAAAAGGTTGAGGAATTCACATTTACATTTAAGTCATTTAGTAGACACTCTTATCCAGAGCGACTTACAGTTAGTGAGTGCATACATTTTCATACTGGAATGGGGATAGATTCATAGACAAAGCAATGATTGCATGGACTGACCATCCTTGATATCAAAAGTTAACTACGCTCATGAGGCATTACTAACTTATATTCCTCAAAATCAAATGGGTACATATCATAAATGTGTAAGTCTAAAAATGGATGTAACAACTGCAGATTGGACAGAGAGAAAGAAACGAACTTCTTTGTTCTTTCAATGGTTCATGTTTGCTTTGACATATTTATGGAAATTCACAGTTTCTGACATGAAATAATGTAAAAGCTTTGCTGACTTGTTATGCTATTGACTGGAGAGGTGATGTGCAAGGCAAGCATAAACACGGCTGGCCTTCCCTTGATCGGTATGAATGAGGCCAAATAGGCAAATTGGTGTGGAGTAAGGCAGTGCGACTGTGAATGGAGGCAGTACACAAAATACTGCAGATTTTTCAAAATGTTGTGATCTAGATCTTCTGTGTGAATGGTACTCTACTGTGATAATGAATGAATGAATGAATGAATGAATGAATGAGAGGGAGAGAGAGGGGAAGGGGGAGGGAGGAGAGGGTGAGATGAGAGAAAGAGTGCATGTGAGAAAGAGCACACAGAAAAACAGAGTGAGAGAGAGAGAGAGGGTGTGTGTGTTGGGGACCTGCATGTATGTTGATGTTTGGTGCCTTGAGGTGTTAATGTGCTTCTTTTAATCTCGGCGATCAGACGCCCAGGCAGTGATGTCACAGCGGGGGCAGACAGTGAGGAAAGAGCCTACACGTTCTAGTGGCACACTTCTTTCCACAACACCCCTCTGATGTCACAGACTGAGACGACAGCCAGCCAGGCTCAGTCACCTGGCTACTGGAGTCATGGTTATTCTGACTAGCGGGTAACGACCCTAGACCCCGACAGGACAGGACACACAGAGGGGACAAAACAAACAACGTAATGTGTCGCGGACAGACCTCCTGCGTCTGGGCCTGTCATTTATAGCCGTAGTACTGTATGAACGCTGCTGGCTGGAACACTGGGCCACTGTCAGAGAGGCTGGTATGTTTGGCATGCGATCATCATTCGAGGATGTGAGAAATGGTATTTAGAACCCATGATCACAGGTTGAGGCCTATCCTTCAGAGAGATTTTTAAAAACTAGCTCTTCTTTAGATCATAACACTTTAACTGTACTTTACCTTCAACTACTTGGTTTGTATAGCCAAGCATAGGCCTGAATTACATGGCCAGAAAATCGTATAGGCCTGCTATACCAGGGAGTAATGAGTCTGACCAAACCGATCCATAAACAAAATGTTGCTTGTTCATTCTCTAAACAATTTTTAAGTGCTGTGAAGCCGGGCTGTACTGTGCACGGTGTCCTCTCTCAAATTCTGACATCTAGGCTGAACTCTACATTCATCCAGACAATCTCAACTCCTTCTAAAGCAGTTGCCGCATGGGTGTGTCTGAAATGGCACCCTATTTCCTAAATAGTAAACTAATTTGAGCAGAGCTCTATGGGCCCTGCTCTAAAGTAGTCACCTCATAGGGAACAGGGTGCCATTTCAGACGCAGCCCATTCATTTGTTTTCTGAAACGTCTAATTTCACTGAGTTCATACAACAGTGTTTTCTAAACATACGGTCAGCCTCTAAGTTCCCAACATGTAGATGTATTATTTTGTAATTTATTTGTGGGGGGAAATGTAAACACTTCCTCTACTGAAACGGCACAAACTGACATTTGTAAACTCTATTGAGAGATGTTTTGGTCTTTAGTATTTTTAAAAAATGTAATGTCATGAATGTTGAATTTGTAAACCGTTTCGGCAACAGAAGTTCTGCTCTTAAAAATAAATGTATGCAAACAATAAATCTGCAGTACTAAGTTGGATATAAGACTAAAAGGACTATTGGTACAAGATGTAATGAAAAAAAGACACTCCACAGCACTTAGGCAAACTAACTTGGACAACATCTTCCATTCATCAAAATGACCTTATCTTATTACCCAAGTATAGCATCATTGCTAACTAGTTAATTAGCTTACATACAGATGTAGGATCTTAAATTTGATCACCCTGTTGCAGGGGAACTTTCATGCAACGCAATACATTTTTTACTTGTAGTGCATTTTAGGTTTAAAAAGGCTTCTGAAATTCCACTTTGAACCCCTACAAAAATGTCCATTAATTATAATCCACATAATAATTCACATTTCCTGTTGCTGTAGGATTATTTTCCTGCTGTAGCAAACTGTTTCAAATTAAGATCCTACATCTGTAGCAACGTGACAAGTAAGCTTATCTGGCTTGCAGATAAGATATGGGGCCTGATTCAATTCCTCCAGTTACTGGGTTCCCAGGGTTAGTACACTGCGACAATGCACATTTGTACTACTGACCGCAATGAAACAATGTTTACTGTTTAAACCAAAAAGAAACCCACCTCTATGATTCAAATATAAGCCTACTCTCCAGAAGTTTTTTTTATTATATAGGGGTTCTATAGTTACGAGGAGAATCAACTGACACAACAGTCATAACTTTGGTTCCGGTCTCATGCCTTAATTACTGGAGCCTACAGACTCTTATGCTGTGACTACAACTTCTACAGTATAACTACCATCATTCTAACTGTAATAATATAGTGTGTTTAGAGTGAATAGGCAGTTTTCAGAAAGGTTGTCAGTTCACTTCAGGAGGAACTTAATTGAGTAACAAAAAAGTCCAAGGGGGTATTTGGAGTTGGATGGCTATCATTTAGGTCCAGGAAACCATGCAATTACTCTTATTTCACAAGGCATTTTGGCCATGACTACTTCAAATTATGACCAATCATCGGAATCCTCTAGCAGAGACATGTGAAGTGTTGGGCTGGGGCCACTCTCTCTTGCTCTCCACCGTCCAAGCCTCTTCCCCGGAGTCAATACGGAAGTCTGCTCTGCAGTTCGAGGTGCAAATCTTTCCCTTTGATTTACGAGAGCAAGAAGTGATCTCCTTCCATCTTTCCCGTTCACCCCTAGCGCTCTGCCCCCTCGCAGCAGCCCGGGACTTGCAGGATGCTGAATGATGACTCCCTCGGGGCGCTACACAAGGAACACACTTCACCCTCTCCAGATGTTGTCACTAACTACTATATTTGAGTTTGATGGCCATTCTAACTACATTCCTCCCTTAGCTGTCCCCTGGACCTGAGAGAGCTACAAATCCCAGGCCTGATGTTGTGCCAACAGGGGGTTGTTGTGGACGACGGACTCCTCTTCGTTAGGGAAGGAGGCTCCGCTCTTTCTCCTTTACCAATCAACGTCTTTTCAAGACTAGGCAGAAACCTGTGAACTGACGGAAACCTAATGGCAACATAGAATCATGAGTCAATTGACGTTTCAAAGATCAGCCTTTTTTAATCAATTTCTTCCACATCCAAAATTTGACTGACAAGGCGCCATTGAAATAAAACACTGTGCACACAGGCATAACCTGTATAAATAACTTAGAGTGGTCGAAAGAATGTTGCCACACCATTGAGGGTGGGTATAAAACGGACAGTGTCGCTCTTATTTTTGGCTCTCAGAACCAACACTTATGCCAAGAAAGAGAAAACCAGACTAGAGGAACATGCTATAATTTGTCTTGAAAATTGAAGATATGTCGGTCGAAAATAATAACTCAAAAAGGTACCAAATGTCTCTTTTAGCTCTCTGCTGGGTGAATTCTGAGGAGACAGTTGGCTTTTTCATTTGAATATGACGCCGCATGCCAAGAGAGTGGGTAGTGGCTGCTGCTATTGCCAGTGCATGGAGGAGGAATGAGTTCGCTTTTGGGACTGAGCAAAGACGTGTGTAGCCTGTGTGGACATAGGAAATCCATGGGGACCAGATGAGATCAGTTTGTGTCTGGGATCAGATCAGTTTGTGTCTGGGATCAGATCAGTTTGTGTCTTGGATCAGATCAGTTTGTGTCTTGGATCAGATCAGTTGCCAGTCAAAATACAGTGGGGAAAAAAAGTATTTAGTCAGCCACCAATTGTGCAAGTTCTCCCACTTAAAAAGATGAGAGGCCTGTAATTTTCATCATAGGTACACGTCAACTATGACAGACAAATGGAGATTTTTTTTCTCCAGATAATCACATTGTAGGATTTTTAATGAATTTATTTGCAAATTATGGTGGAAAATAAGTATTTGGTCACCTACAAACAAGCAAGATGTCTGGCTCTCACAGACCTGTAACTTCTTTAAGAGGCTCCTCTGTCCTCCACTCGTTACCTGTATTAATGGCACCTGTTTGAACTTGTTATCAGTATAAAAGACACCTGTCCACAACCTCAAACAGTCACACTCCAAACTCCACTATGGCCAAGACCAAAGAGCTGTCAAAGGACACCAGAAACAACATTGTAGACCTGCACCAGGCTGGGAAGACTGAATCTGCAATAGGTAAGCAGCTTGGTTTGAAGAAATCAACTGTGGGAGCAATTATTAGGAAATGGAAGACCACTGATAATCTCCCTCGATCTGGGGCTCCACGCAAGATCTCACCCCGTGTGGTCAAAATGATCACAAGAACGGTGAGCAAAAATCCCAGAACCACACGGGGGGACCTAGTGAATGACCTGCAGAGAGCTGGGACCAAAGTAACAAAGCCTACCATAAGTAACACACTACGCCGCCAGGGACTCAAATCCTGCAGTGCCAGACGTGTTCCCCTGCTTAAGCCAGTACATGTCCAGGCCCGTCTGAAGTTTGCTAGAGTGCATTCGGATGATCCAGAAGAGGATTGGGAGAATGTCATATGGTCAGATGAAACCAAAATAGAACTTTTTGGTAAAAACTCAACTCGTCGTGTTTGGAGGACAAAGAATGCTGAGTTGCATCCAAAGAACACCATACCTACTGTGACGCATGGGGGTGGAAACATCATGCTTTGGGGCTGTTTTTCTGCAAAGGGACCAGGACGACTGATCCGTGTAAAGGAAAGAATGAATGGGGCCATGTATCGTGAGATTTTGAGTGAAAACCTCCTTCCATCAGCAAGGGCATTGAAGATGAAACATGGCTGGGTCTTTCAGCATGACAATGATCCCAAACACACCGCCCGGGCAACGAAGCAGTGGCTTCGTAAGAAGCATTTCAAGGTCCTGGAGTGGCCTAGCCAGTCTCCAGATCTCAACCCCATAGAAAATCTTTGGAGGGAGTTGAAAGTCTGTGTTGCCCAGCGACAGCCCCAAAACATCACTGCTCTAGAGGAGATCTGCATGGAGGAATGGGCCAAAATACCAGCAACAGTGTGTGAAAACCTTGTGAAGACTTACAGAAAACATTGACCTGTGTCATTGCCAACAAAGGGTATATAACAAAGTATTGAGAAACTTTTGTTATTGACCAAATACTTATTTTCCACCATAATTTGCAAATGAATTCATTAAAAATCCTACAATGTGATTTTCTGGAGAAATAAAATCTCCATTTGTCTGTCATAGTTGACGTGTACCTATGATGAAAATTACAGGCCTCTCTCATCTTTTTAAGTGGGAGAACTTGCACAATTGGTGGCTGACTAAATACTTTCCCCCCCCACTGTAGCCTCTACTCACACTTAAGACAATGACATACATGTAATGAGGGTTTTATCTAATTTCAAATACATTGTATTAACATCTAATTTAATATACAATATCTTTCATTATAAATTACATGAGTGATTTGAGGTGATAAGCTAAAACGGGAATCTTAAAGCTAGAAATAGGTCAGAAGAAAACAGCAGGTTTTAACATATTCTGACAATTACAAACTCTGATTAAACTTCAGGGCCCGTATCCACAAAGTGTCTCAGAGTAGGACTGCTGATCTAGGATCAGGACCACACCTGTCCATTTAATCTTATAAATGATGATCTGAACGGACAAACTGATCCTATAGCATCACTCCTATTTATGGATAAGTGCCCAGGCTTTCATCTGCTACTAGCATTAGCCTAACTGGCTCAGATAGACAGATCTCCCTTTTGTTTTTCCTGGTATTTTGTTGGAGATTGCAGAGTACATGGTGAACATGCCCTCTTCCAAACGGTCCATGACCATTCTTGGCCAAGCAGCATAGGGGGTGGGGTGTACGTCCCAAACGGCACCCCATTCCCTACATAGGTTCACTACTTTTGACCAGTGCCCTAGTGCACTATATAGGGAATAGGGTGCCATTTGGGATGCAGCCGGCGAGGACTCCGTCCAAGCACAACATGTGCGCAAGCAGGACCAGAATTTCATCCTCTGAGATTTCATTCTCATAAAAAATAAGACAGAGAAATCTAGAACACTTCCATCTTCTTGTGTGTGTTCATCAATAGTATGTTCATCAACAGTGTGTTCATCAACAGTGTGTTTGGCAAGCTGAAAAAACTATCTACATTTTTGGTTGTTGTTCTTGAGCAAACCGTTCGGTCACAATTTAACTGATCAAAACCCGCTCTGAAAACATTTGAGGGCAAACGGCTTTGCAAACACACCAGTCTTCTGCCAACAGTCAGAAATTCAAAATGTCTTTGGGTCTAATGGTCCTCTCCAAATGTCCTCTCTCTATTGAAAGTATAAAATAACAATACCCCTTTCTTTGCCACAAGAATGTGAGGAATGTTGACAGGGTAAGTGCACGGCCATGTACGTATGTTTTGGAAGCGATGTCTGTCTTAATAGCAGACCAGTGAGGTCATGATGGTCCAGAAACATCATGTCAGCAAGTTCACTCACCAGATTCTCCAGAAACATCATGTCAGCAAGTTCACTCACCAGATTCTATCTGTACTTTCTCTAGAGACTACAGTCAAACCCACCACAGCACAGCTGCATCTGGGCTTCTTCGGCATCTGGCCTTCTTCGGTTGACTGCTGCCCGGAGGTTAGGCTGAGGGGTCAGATCTTTGCCCCCCTCGGGGCATTCAATGTGAGGACTGTGACAGACAACAGCCTCCCCATTCAATGCTGTTTAAAGGGTCAAAAGGTTTTCCTGAGCCCACACTAATCCTTAGAGAAAGTAGGGCATAAACCTGCCTGACCATGCAGAGAGGGCATGTTTTATTAATAAACCAAGACTCACTGACCTTGTCTGGGTCACAACAGCAAAGTTTGAAATTCAAAAGGCACTCACATCTGAGCCACCTTTGTTGCAGGCGCATGATAACAATTGAATAAGATTAGTAAAAAGAAGAAACCCGCACACTGCTCTTGATAGTATCACTGCTCTTGATAGTATCACTGCTCTTGATAGTATCACTGCTCTTTATTAAGCTTTACGTATCGGCCTCAAGGCCTTCGTCAGAGCAAAGTTAAAGTGGAGACAAAGTCTGAGTCCGAAATGGCAACCTATTTATTCCCTATACACTGCACTAGTTCTGATCAGACCAAATAGGGTTCTGGTCAAAAGTAGTCAGAGCAATTTATAGGAAATACGGTGGCATTTCGGTCGTGGAAAAACTGCTTTAAAACCAGTGACAATCCATCCAGAATGATGAGAATGAGCTTAAACCACCTCCTCCAGTATCTAACCCACCACACCACACAACAGTGCATTCCTCTCCCTCAGCTGAGTTTCAGGATTCACAGTGTTTAAGCAGACATCCAGCCCCCTGCAGAGTCCACTGGCCCGTGACTTCTCTTCTACACATTCCATCCTACGGAATAAAGCCTCATATCCAAAACATCCATGTAATGAGAGGAACCTTCAAAAGAGGCTGCTGCCCTGCCAGAGACACACATTAAGGCCTCCTGGATAATCCTGGCTAGAGCATTAGGCTGGATAACCCTGGCTAGAGCATTAGGCTGGATAACCCTGGCTACAGCATTAGGCTGGATAACCCTGGCTACAGCATTAGGCTGGATAACCCTGGCTACTGCATTAGGCTGGAAAACCCCTGGCTACAGCATTAGGCTGGATAACCCTGGCTACTGCATTAGGCTGGATAACCCTGGCTAGAGCATTAGGCTGGATAACCCTGAATACACGTGTGGTCCTCTGTAGCTCAGTTCGTAGAGCACGGCGCTTGTAACGCCAGGGTAGTGGGTTCGATCCCCGGGACCACCCATACACAAAAACGTATGCACGCATGACTGTAAGTCGCTTTGGATAAAAGAGTCTGCTAAATGGCATATTATTATACAGCATTAGGCTGGATAACCCTGGATACAGCATTAGGCTGGATAACCCTGGATACAGCAGCAGGCAGAACTGAAGGTTTTGTAGTTTCGTTGTGAGATGCCACAAGACCCCATGGGCCATTTGTTTAGTTGCAAAACAACCTACACACAATCTGGACCTTCTCATCCGTACTTAACTCTGAGCCAATGAGGTTTTGATAATTGTCCAGAAATAGGTTTCATCATCGCCGGGTGTACCGACAAACACTCAGGAGACCGGCGGCATTAACTGAGGCTACATGCCTGTGTGATAACGGCGGAAAAAACAACCACTTTGTTGCCCCATCACTTTGGGCAAAGCTGGTGACCAACCTGCGCCAAGGGCTTTGGTTTTCAAGGGAAGGCAACTCAGCAATTTGTTAAACAAAAATGCAGAGCCTTGGGTAGAAGAAACTGGACGACGGTGTCTGCCTTAAATGTCAGAGACAAGAGGACTGTCTGCTTACATACAGTGGGGGAAAAAAGTATTTAGTCAGCCACCAATTGTGCAAGTTCTCCCACTTAAAAAGATGAGAGAGGCCTGTAATTTTCATCATAGGTACACGTCAACTATGACAGACAAAATGAGAAGAAAAGAAATCCAGAAAATCACATTGTAGGATTTTTTATGAATTTATTTGCAAATGATGGTGGAAAATAAGTATTTGGTCAATAACAAAAGTTTCTCAATACTTTGTTATATACCCTTTGTTGGCAATGACACAGGTCAAATGTTTTCTGTAAGTCTTCACAAGGTTTTCACACACTGTTGCTGGTATTTTGGCCCATTCCTCCATGCAGATCTCCTCTAGAGCAGTGATGTTTTGGGGCTGTCGCTGGGCAACACGGACTTTCAACTCCCTCCAAAGACTTTCTATGGGGTTGAGATCTGGAGACTGGCTAGGCCACTCCAGGACCTTGAAATGCTTCTTACGAAGCCACTGCTTCGTTGCCCGGGCGGTGTGTTTGGGATCATTGTCATGCTGAAAGACCCAGCCACGTTTCATCTTCAATGCCCTTGCTGATGGAAGGAGGTTTTCACTCAAAATCTCACGATACATGGCCCCATTCATTCTTTCCTTTACACGGATCAGTCGTCCTGGTCCCTTTGCAGAAAAACAGCCCCAAAGCATGATGTTTCCACCCCCATGCGTCACAGTAGGTATGGTGTTCTTTGGATGCAACTCAGCATTCTTTGTCCTCCAAACACGACGAGTTGAGTTTTTACCAAAAAGTTCTATTTTGGTTTCATCTGACCATATGACATTCTCCCAATCCTCTTCTGGATCATCCAAATGCACTCTAGCAAACTTCAGACGGGCCTGGACATGTACTGGCTTAAGCAGGGGGACACGTCTGGCACTGCAGGATTTGAGTCCCTGGCGGCGTCGTGTGTTACTGATGGTAGGCTTTGTTACTTTGGTCCCAGCTCTCTGCAAGTCATTCACTAGGTCCCCCCGTGTGGTTCTGGGATTTTTGCTCACCGTTCTTGTGATCATTTTGACCCCACGGGGTGAGATCTTGCGTGGAGCCCCAGATCGAGGGAGATTATCAGTGGTCTTGCATGTCTTCCATTTCCTAAGAATTGCTCCCACAGTTGATTTCTTCAAACCAAGCTGCTTACCTATTGCAGATTCAGTCTTCCCAGCCTGGTGCAGGTCTACAATTTTGTTTCTGGTGTCCTTTGACAGCTCTTTGGTCTTGGCCATAGTGGAGTTTGGAGTGTGACTGTTTGAGGTTGTGGACAGGTGTCTTTTATACTGATAACAAGTTCAAACAGGTGCCATTAATACAGGTAACGAGTGGAGGACAGGGGAGCCTCTTAAAGAAGAAGTTACAGGTCTGTGAGAGCCAGAAATCTTGCTTGTTTGTAGGTGACCAAATACTTATTTTCCACCATAATTTGCAAATGAATTCATAAAAAATCCTACAATGTGATTTTCTGGAGAAAAAAAATCTCAATTTGTCTGTCATAGTTGACGTGTACCTATGATGAAAATTACAGGCCCCTCTCATCTTTTTAAGTGGGATAACTTTTTTTCCCCACTGTACATAGCCATTAGAGGAGAATGTGGCCCAGAGAAGACCACCCTCTTAGAGACTTATCTCACAAAGAGAGATTGAAGACGACCGACCCCAGAGAAAATGACGTTGGGTAAAACTTCACTTTATAAAGAGCATAAAGGGTAAGTAAGGCACAGGAGGTTGGTGGCACCTTAATTGGGGAGGACGGGCTTGTGGTAATGGCTGGAGTGGAATAAGTGGAATGTATCAAATACATCAAACACATGGTTTCCATTCGCTCCGTTCCAGCCATTATTATGAGCTGTCCTCCCCTCAGCAGCCTCCACTGAAGTAAGGGTATAGAAGTACTTTTTTTTAACAGTCTATATAAAGTATGTATAAAACCCTTTAGAAACCATTTACAAACCCTTTATTACGTGGTACCTACAGTGCCTTCAGAAAGTATGTATACTCCTCGACTTATTCCACTCTCTTGTTACAGCCTGAATTCAAAATAGATTAAATCGATTTTTCCCCCCTCACCCATCTACACACAATACCCCATAATGACAAAGTGAAAGAATGTTTTTAGACATTTTTGCACATTTATTGAAAATGAAATACAGAAATATCTAATTTACATAAGTATTCACACACCAGAGTCAATACTTTGTAGAAGCACCTTTGGCAGCGATTACAGCTGTGAGTCTTTCGGAGTAAGTCGAAGAGCATTGCACACCTGCATTGTAAAATATTTGCACATTGTTTTAATAATAATCTTCAAGTTGGTTGTTGATCATTGCTAGACAGACATTTTTCAAGTCTTGCCATAGATTTTCAAGCCGATGAAAGTCAAAACTGTAACTAGGCCATACAGGAACATTCAATGTCGTCTTGGTAAGCAACTCCAGTGTATATTTGGCCTTGTCTTTTAGGTTGTTAACATGCTGAAGGTTGAATTTGTCTCCCAGTGTCTGTTGGAAAGCAGACTGAACCAGGTTTTCCTCTAGGATTTTGCCTGTGCTTAGTTCTATTCCGTTTCTTTTTATCCAAAAAAAAAACTCCTTAGTCCTTGCCAATGGCAAGCATACCCATAAAATGATGCAGCCAACACCATGCTTGAAAATATGAAGAGTGGTACTCAGTAATGTGTTGTATTGGATTTACCCCAAACATAACGCTTTGTATTCAGGACATAAAGTTAATTTCTTTGCAGTTTTACTTTAGTGCATTATTGCAAACAGGATGCAGGTTTTGGAATATTTTTTATTCTGTACAGGCTTCCTGTCAAACGCTTATCTGTTTCACCTGCCTTTGTGCTTGTCTCCACCCTCCTCCAGGTGTCGCCCATATTCCCCATTATCCCCTGTGTATTTATACCTGTGTTCTCTGTTTATCTGTTGCCAGTTCGTCTTGTCTTGTTAAGCTTACCAGTGTTTTTCCCGTACTCCTGTTTTGCTCTAGCCCGTTTTCCAGTTTCAGTATCCTGACCCTAAGCCTGCCTGTCGTTCTGTACCTTGTGACACTGTTCTGGATTACCAACCTCTGCCTGCCCTTGACCTGTCGTTTGCCTGCCCCCTGTTTTTGTAAATAAACTTTTGCTATTTCGAACTGTCTGCATCTGGGTCTTATCCTGAGTCGTGATACTTCCTTCTTTTCACTCTGTCATTTAGGTTAGTATTGTGGAGTAACTACAATGTTATTGATTGAAAATGTATGCACTCACTAACTGTAAGTCGCTCTGGATAAGATCGTCTGCTAAATGACTAAAAT